GCTGCGGGGGCTGTTCCTACACCATGAGGCTGCGTTTGATTACAGAAAGAGGAAGGGGTCCGGCGTGTGACGTGGGAGAGGAACCTGCGACTCGTGATGCTGCATAATCTGGAGCACTCCCTGGGGCTGCACTCCTACGAGCTGGGCATGAACCACCTGGCAGACATGGTAGGTGCCGGCCATGCTGCTGAGAAGGGGCTTGTCTTTGTCTCTAATTACCTGCGAGGTTGATTTAACAAGGAATATAAGTGGGTGAGGGGTGGAAAAACTCCCAACAACCTTTCTCAGCCCATCCTCTTCTTGTGGACTCCAGCAGTCATGGACAAACTGCTCAGACATTCCTGTGTTCAACCTACTGGCATGAGGCAATCTGGTGTGAGGAAATAACTCCTTAATGCAGCATTTGGGGTGCGCGGACCTGGTCCTGGTCATTATATATATTTGCAAATCATCCCTCTTCAATGTCCCAAGGTTGTACTGTTGTTTAATGAAACATACCAGCTTCTAGGGATTTTTGGGGCTGGAGTTAAGCTTTGTATTTTCTTTTTCTTGCCCTTTCCAATGAACGGCTAGAAATTAAATATAAAAGATAAAAAACCAAGGACTCCACAAACCTGCTAACTCTTGCAGCTCAGACTGTTCAAGGGAAATCCCCCTCCACCTCCAACACACTCAATGTAGGACTTAACAGAGACAAGAAGATCATGAGCTGGTGTTTTCTTTTCCCACCAGACCCGTGAGGAAGTGGCGGCTTTGTTAACTGGGCTGAACGTTGCTCCTCGGCCAAACCGTAGGAGCCAAACGTACCGACCGCAGCCTGGCAGCAAAGTCCCGGACACGATGGACTGGAGGGAGAAGGGATGCGTCACAGATGTGAAGAACCAGGTTTGAAGCTCTCTCTGTGCCTCTTTGTGTCTCGGTCCCGTGCTCAGTCTGAGCATCTCTGGGGCTTTTGCAGGGTGCCTGTGGGTCATGCTGGGCGTTCAGTGCCGTGGGAGCCCTCGAAGGCCAGGTGAAGCTGAAGACGGGGAAGCTGGTGTCTCTGAGCACCCAGAACCTCGTTGACTGCTCCATGATGTACGGGAACAAAGGCTGCAGTGGAGGTTTCATGACCAGTGCTTTCCAGTACATCATCGACAACCAAGGGATTGACTCAGACGATTCCTACCCCTACACAGCTCAGGTAGGCATCAGACCTAGACAGCACGTGAAATCTGCAGAAAAACATATGAGCATGGAAGCAACACGGCCATTCGTCCTGCTCTCCTGAGTAGACACTCGTCTCCTCCTCTCCCACTGGTTTCCCTCTGTCTTGGTTTCTACCAGTCTCATGTGACCTTCTCAGCCTTTGCAGCTGATTCTTTCAGACCTGGGGAAGGGACCTTTAAACTTCTTTTTTCTCATAGGTGAATGACTGGACTGGGAGCCAGAATTTCTACATGTTTATTTCTGTCCCACATAAATTATGAGGCAACGTACTACACGGAAGGGAAAAATGGGACAGGAGTCCTGGGTCCTGTTCTCAGCTCTCTGTATTATTCCATCTTCTGTGGTTGAAAATGGGATACTGATACTTCTACCATTTCAGCGGGCAGAGGTTTCCGGTGAACGACATTCATACAATTGTTTTTTTTAAAAGTTGCTTGTAACAGATGCTGTATGACTGCTGCAAGGTCATAAGGATAAGAGCCATAACAAAATAAAGATCCTAATGCTAAGAGTCTTGATGGCCAGAGACAAGAGATGCCCTGAAATGACCTGGTGTCTTGAAAGCATGGCCTATGGAAACATGTCAAAGTAACTCAGACCAAGAAAGAAAAGTGGAATACAAGTCTTCAAACATGCATAAGGCAGCTACAGAGACAAAAGATGCTGTTCTCTGTGTCCAGAGGGAGAATGAGAGGCCGTGGGCTTAATTTACAATAGAAGAAATTTAGGTTAAACGTGAGGAGGCGCCCTCTGATGGGAAGGATGAGGAAGCAAGGACAGTTTCTCCAGGGAAGTGGTAGAAGTATTGTCATCGGAGGTTTCTAGAAAAAAGGCAGAGAATTCTGTTGAAATGGTTTGGCTGCTCTTGGTGTGGGGAAGTGAGATGGACCAGATGGTCTCTTCAGGTTCTTCCAGCCATCTTTTCTGTAATCCTGTGTATAGAAAAATGGTGGTCAAAGAAAAGTTAAGAACAGGGTAGCACAGGGTAAAAAAGGGCTGATAGAAAACACATATCTGAAAGTCTTGAGATGTTGCTGGTGGATTCTTCACACTCCTCTTCTCAACTCCCCCTTGTTCTTACCAGAATGGGACATGCCAATACAATGCTTCCACACGAGCCGCCACTTGCTCCAAGTACGTTGAGCTCCCACAAGGCGACGAAGCAGCCCTGAAAGATGCTGTAGCCAACATCGGACCAGTCTCCGTCGCCATTGATGCCACCCAGCCCACCTTCTTCTTGTACAGGTCAGGTATGTCCTTTCACCCTGGAGATCTTCTTCACAGTCTTCTGTGTCTTTCTGCATATAAAGCTTATGAAATTTGGTGGAATTTGGCAAGTTGGGGTTTAATTCCTGGATGAAGGCATCAATATGACAAAACCTAAGATAGCAGCATTAGTGATTATGCTGAAGGTTGAATTCAATCTCACTGACGACTCAAAGACGAGGTCTTGTGGTCTGATGATGTGCTTCCAAACTCCTTTTTTTCCAGGTGTGTATGATGACCCCCAGTGCACACAGGAGGTGAATCACGCAGTGCTCGTGATTGGCTACGGCACCCTGAATGATAAGGATTACTGGCTTGTGAAAAACAGGTAGAGGCACGACTGTGTATCACTGAACTCTTGTTATCTATATGCTCACTATCTATAGGGTCAAGCTCCTCTTAGGTAACCTCCCACTGCTCAAACTGACATCCTCACAATTTTATAACGACCGATATTTATACAGATGACAGGGAGATCAGTTCGGTGCTTGTGCCATGGGGGTTCTTATAGAGCTGAAAGTTGGTATTGTCCTTAAACTACTCCCTAAGGATTCGTGCTTAGCCATGTCAAAGCACCTTTATGTCACCCTAGCAATGTGAAGGAACTTTAAATGCATTTAAAATACACTTACACCCACCTTCAATTCCCTTTACGTTGATGAGTGTTGTCATAACTTAATACGGGATTAGAAATCCCATGAAGGAGTTAATGAAAACACTTCAATGCTGTGAGGTTGATAAAGCTGCCGCTTCACTTACAGAAAAAGGAGTTTAATTTTTCTGATGTCTGTTTGTTTGTTTCCTGTCCCAAAAGTTGGGGTGTGCGTTTTGGTGACGAGGGCTATATCCGCATGTCAAGAAACCACGCGAACCATTGCGGGATCGCCAGTTATGCCTCTTACCCGCTAATATAGATGGACCCTGTGCTTCAGAGAGGACTCCTGAGGCTTCAGTAAAACCACTAATCCTACGCTTGCATGGACCTACTGACTTCAAGAATCATTTTCTGGCTCTGTGGGCAAAGTCCTTCTGCTAGATCAGCCTGTCTTACAGGCTGGGAGGGAGTCCTTTGCATGGGAGGATTTTAGAATATGATTTACAGGCACCTAGTGACTTCTTCTTGGGCGAAAAAAGGGTTTTTTTCAAGGTAAAACTGCAATACCTACAGTTATAATGGAGGTCATATTTTCCTCTCTCCAGTTTAGCGTTGAGTATGGCTACGATGATACAGATATCATTTTAGCTCTGTGTGATGTTGATGAAATTGCAGAATTTCTTTGAAAAATAAAAGATTGGTTTCACTGTCCAAAAATCCTATATTTGGTCTCCGGAGGCAGGAATGGGTGGCAGAGGGAACTCCAGCTGGTACTTTCTCATCTGGCAGTGCTCCCCCACGTAAGGACCTCTCACAAAACCTCTCCACAAATGATGTTTCTCTCCAAACAATGTCTATGATTTGGGAATGGGAGATATAGACCACCGCACCGCTGCCAAAAGTGTGGGGAGAGAAAGCAGCTGATATCCATGGTTTCACGTTGATGTAACTTCTCATGATGATGAGAACACACACACACATCAAACACAGCGCTTGTTTCCAACAGGGATGGCAAAACCCATTCTGAAAGAAAAAGGTTTTCATGTTAAACATTTTGGTTGAGATTGCAAGTTCACCAACCCTTTTTCTTTAAATGTGTGTATTTACTATAGGCTTTAAAAAAGGTCTTGTAGTTTTTTTCAGTGAAAAACTTAGAGAATCACTTTTATATTTAGTTGGGCACTGTGCTGATCTGAGGTGCCACTGCCACCTTGGGGAGATGGAGGAATTGAACAAGTCTCCATCCACAAGGTGACATTTGAGAATGCTCGCATCACCTATCAAAATTATCACGTATTGGCCTTCGCAGTTGTGTTTGAGCTCTCCAGATAGGTTATTGTTGGGTTTTTTAACCCTTTTGCCAAAGCATTGCTCACTCTTAAAACCCTATCGACTGAAGACATCTCCTTTCCAAGCATGGAGATCTCTCACTGAGCACCTACAGCTCCAGCTCTGTCCTTGGAAGGGGATCAAACCCCATCATATCTTCAGCAAAAACATCAACCAGCGAAGAGCTGATGGGCCAAGACCTTCATGCAATGAAGTAAAAAAAATATTTTGACTTAACGCCAACATACAAACTGGGGGGCTCTGGGAGGGTACTAGGGGCATGGGGAGGGTTCTCACAGGTACTGGAGTGGCTATAGGTGGCACTGGGAGGGTCTTGAGTGGCTCTTGGGGGTCCTGAAAAGTTTTAGGGTGTACTTGGGTGCTCAGCAGGGTTACTGGGAGGTTCTGGGATGGCCCTGGGAGCTCTGGGGTCTTCTGGAGGCTTGGAGAGGGCTTGGGGTGCTCTGAGGGCAGACCGGGGGCACTTGGAAGGCTCTTGAGGGCGTTGGAGGATATGGGGGGGGGCTCTGGGAGTGTACTGGGGATATTGGGAGGGCCTTGGGAGCTCTGGTGGGTACTGGGAGGCTCTGGGAGGGTCTTGGAAGATACTGAGGGGCTCTGGGAGAGTCTGGGGGGGGGGCTCTGATGAGGGTGCTGGAGAAAGTTGGAGGGTCCTGGGTGGCTCTGTGGCATACTAGGGGCTCTGGGAGGGTACTGGGGGGACTTCTGAGGGTAGTGGGGATCTGGGAAGATATTGGGGGCACTAGAAGGGTCCTGGGGGTTTGGGTGGGTACTGGACAGTGCTGGGTGGGGCCCTCCCCAGGCTTTCTTTGCATCCCAGAGCACTCTTTTTGTCCTCTGTGCTAATTAGGATGCCTCTATTCAGTCCCTCGCCCTATGAGAACTGATGTTCTCCGCTCAGATCAAGTTCCTCTTTTCCTCCCCAAGCTTTCTTTTGTCTCTGTAACGGCCTTAGGACCCTTTGAGTTCCCTCACTAGTCGTTCTTTGGCTTTCCTTGTGCCCCAGAGGACTCTGTGTGTCTTTTATTCTCTCTGGGATCCCTGCTTTGGTCTTTGAGCTCCTCTAGAACTTTTAACCCAAGCCCAAAACAGAGCCCAGGACCAACACGGACGCCCAGCTATGGCTCCCACACAAGCGTGGCCAGGACTGAAAGCTTTTTGCAGCTGTCACCTTTCCTTGGCAGCGCCTTCTCAGTTCCCAAACACTGAGGCTCTTTGCTTTCTCTCTCTCCAAAACCTTCACCCTAGCCCTAGTCAGGGCCCAGGAAGGACACGGACCCCCATCCATTGCTCCCACGCAAAAGCAGCAGGACTAAAAGCTTCTGGCAGCCCTCACCTTTCCCTATCTGCCCCTTCCCAGCCCCACAAACACTGCGGCTTTGCCCCTTCTCTCGCAAAACCCCAAACCCCAACCTAACCCTTTGAAAGGCCACAGCAAAGCCCGGCAAAGACCCCAGGGCTCTCTGGAGGGCAGCAGGGCCCATTATGGCCCCCAGCAAACCCTGGTGAAGGCCTCAGGGCTCTCTGGAGGGCAGCTGGGCTCCTTGCAGACCGTGGTGAAGTAGTATATTTTTTAATTAATGGTGGCGTTTGTAAACACTTCTGCAGGTCAAGCCCTCTTCCCCCTAAGTGAAGGCCCAGGGCGGGAAGGAGGGGGCGCGCTCTGCGCATGCGCGGGAGTCCCTCGGCGGGCCGAGAACAACTACATTTCCCAGCGTGCCTCGGGGGCGGGTGGGTGAGGTGATTACTTCCTGT